GAAAGATATCACAAGGAATTCTGAACCACCCCCCGACTCCAAAGAAATGAATCTACATTCAGCAGTGGGCCATAGATCAAACGTCATGTGAATCCCTGACGAGAGGCCAGTTTCAGTTATTTCCAAAGAAATGCTTTCTTAATTGCCTGATACTGAGATAGATTTTCCCAGAGGATTTAAAATCAGAACACATTAAACTCTGGTAAAAGTTAAATATTTCTTCACACTATAAAAATTTACACAACTCTTATTTTGTACATTTGTTCTCCCAAAACAAGATCAACATTGGGCGGAATAATTTGCCAATCATTTTATGTCTGGGATGCCAAGAAAATAAGAGAACAATAGTAATAAAACACATATATATTGTGCCACATAATTTCTATTTTAATATATAATTAAAGGTCATACATGGCTCTAGATACAAATACTATGATTAAGTTATTTGGTAACAAGTTCTTCTATGCACATAGAACTGCTGCTTAAAATCTGGATTATTTTCCAGTACAACAGTGGTGCCAAGATTATTGAGAAGGTTTTACATTTGAAAGTAAAATATAAAATCCAGTTCATTAACAATAAGTTTTCTTCAGGAGACATTATAATCCTGGGGTAATATACCCTTCTCTGTGTTTTGACCCATGCTATAAAAATGCAGTTTTGAACTTTAACCATTTTTGGAAAGCTTTTACAAACCCTACACTTCATGGTAGTTTAACAATTATGCCTAAACATAAAAGTCCCAAAATGCACACAGAAAGCTTTTCAGCAAACAAAAGCAGTTTTCAGAATGTTCTTCATAATAGTTCTGCATTCCAGGTTCTCTTAAGGATAAGCAGCCTAATGTCTACCTGCCATTTTAATTAGGTAATTTTCAAAACTTCTGAAATAACTGTAAGATGTGATGCCCTACAAGGTTATTTGCTCTTCAAACAATGTAACAGGCATGTCATTAAGGAAAACTCAGTTGTGTGTCATAGGAAAGATCTGAAAATAACTAATGATGGTTATTTCTGAGTATTGGTATTACGGATAATTCTTTTTATCTATACTTCTACATTTTCCAATAATCAACATGATGGATTTGGTAATTAAAATACACAAGTCTTTAATGTAAAAATAATATCTTTACACTCATGATTTCATTTCTACGAATTTACCAGTAATTTCTCTCCCTTAAAACAAACTAGACATGGTTATAAAATGTTCCTTGCCCATTATTTACTGTAAATGGAAGCTGAAAAATATGTAATAATTCAATAATATGGGAATCATTAAGATGGGACCCCCTCATTCATGTAAAAGGTGAAACATTACAACTACTTAAACTGTTAAAGTCACATAAAAAACCAAACTGCTGAGGTAGTGAGCTTAAGTGGGAAAAAAGCCTATAACATACTGCATCATGTGTTGTTTATGGAAGAGTGATTTTAAAGAAACTAGAGAGAAATGCAATATGTTAAGAGCAATTTATTCCCTCTAGGCATGATGGCACATGTGTATAATCCCAACACTCTTGGAGGATGAGGCTGGAAGACTGCAAATACAAGCACATCTTGAGCAATTCTGCCAGACTCCATCTCAAAAAATTAAAAAATAAAATTTAAAAAAAGCTGAGGATGTAGCTCAGTGTCAACAGCCTGGGTTCAATCCCCAGTACTGGGATTAGGGCGTATTTCCATTGATGGAAGAATTATACATATGCTATTTAATCTAGTATACTATTCTATAGTAAAATATTTGCAAAATAAAAAAAAAGAAGAGGATGAGTGCTTTTCTGGAATTTTACTTGAGATAAAAGCCTGTTTAAGTTAGAAGAAAAAAGTTATTTCCTATTATACTATTAATAAAATAAAACACCATTCAAGGACACTTACAGAATCCCAACTAGCAACCACTATTGCCTAAAATAGTTTAACAGCATAAATGCTATTATCCTCTCCCATTATGCTAATTTTATAAAATTAGCTTCTCTAATTCATAAACCACAAACCAGTACTACAAAGCTTTTATGAAGTATTCTATTAGGAGGCTGGATTCTAACACCACTTGCCTTCCCCTTTGTGTGTAAAATTTACAGAGATCTAACATATGAATACTGATACAGATGATGCAATTACATTTCTTAATGTTAAGCTTTTGAATATGTAAGATAAAAATGAAGATTTTATCTGTAAAAGGGAGAAAGACGTGGCTCTTCTAAGCTCTGCAGAAAATAACATTATTTTGGAGTGATATCAAACAAGTGACAAAGAGCTTATTAAAAGTAAAAGGACTTCATTGTTCCCTTAAATTAAGTGCCCTCAAATTTGCCTCAGGATCAAACTTGGGGAAAAAAAACTACCTCTAAGTTGTGAAGTACATACATTTTCACTGATGTTAAAGCATAATAGCATGTGAAACTGCAGTAAGCAGTAAATATAATCATATTTCCTTCATGGTTTTCTTTGTGATTATATTCATACTGTAAATACTATAATATGAGAACCTAAAACAATGTAATGTAACAAAGTTTTCACTGGACATCTTCTTTAGTTTTGAAGGTAGTTGTAGCAAGCTCACAAATATTTATCCGATGAGTAAAAATTGATGCTTTAAAAAAATAAGCAACAAAAGGTAGGCTGTAAAAAACAACTTTATACTTACTAAGCAATTCTTAATGTAAATTAAGTATGAAAGGTCATCGAGAAACTTTACAAAAATCTAAAGAAAGCTGTGGGTGCTTTTTTCCTAGTACAGGGATTGAACTTGGGACTTTGGGCTTGCCAGGCAGGCACTTATGCTGTGGAGCTATCTCTCCGGCCTAGAAAAACTTCTGTTCAGCAATTACCGGGCCATTTTCCCCACCTCTCTCTAGTGTCTCCAATCAAACCAGATTACCATAAACGCTCACACGTACCCATCTTATATTTACACTATTTTTATGTTAATTAGTAATTATTTAGAAAAGCAAACGGCAGATAGGACCTGTAGAATAAAAATTCAGCTTTTAACGTAAATCACTTTACACAATATCCAATACACATAATTTAGAATTTGATTGCTCTTTCAGGATCTGACGTGCGCCTTCAATTACAAGTGCATTTGGTCTCAGTTTTTTTGATACCCAAAGGACGGTGTTACTCCACAGTGCCCCCTAGCTCCTTAAGATATATCAGTTTGAAAGGGACACCATTTGAACTGTCAACCTCAAGACCAAGTGTCAGTTATCATCAGCTCCCCTTACTCAGCTCTTAAATGGATACTATATTAAGTAAATTTGACCTGAGGCATAACAGCTAACAATTCAATCTTGCTAGTAATATAAATAAGTAACAATGGAGAAATACAGATCAAATTCTCTGGTATTCAATGATTGGGATTCTAACAGTAGAGCTTCAAAAGTTCTGCAGAATGTCTCTGTAAATTGCTTGATTTTTAGATGGCCATTAAGCCAAGACACAAAAACACACATTTAAACTGCTTTCTTTTTATGTAACTCAAGGAGAAATGAAATGACATTTGGCTATCACTCTTTAGAAGAATGGGAGCACTTTAATTTAAAAAATGCTGGTATCAGAGCAAGTCATAAGATTCAGTAATGTCACTAAATGTCATATTACCTTGCGAATTTATGCAAATTGCTAACACTAGTAAATTCGTGAGAGGAAAGTTTGTGACCTTGTGGTGACATCTCGAGTAAGTGGGACTGGGGCTGCTTCAAGATCAGCTGGGGAAGGCAAAAAGCATTAAATAACCACATTCCCGTTCTTTTGGAAATGGACGTAAGCACAACTTCCAAGCGCAACGTGAAATGCTACGAAAACCAAATGCCCTTCACCTCACTGAAGTCATTCTTAGAAAAAAGAAAAAGTCCTACTTTTTTCTCTGCTAAAAGTCTAGTATGTTCGCACTAAAGGGGGAAAACTGAACAATGTGAAAACGGAAAAGAGCTGAAAAAGGGTGAAACTACAGTGGTAATTACAATCAGGTGGAGAAGAGTACATCCAAACCACTTATGTTTTATTCTAAAGAATTGTTTTGTTTCGATCATTTTGTCGAAGAATTTAATTTGCACGTCTCGAAAAGAGACCCCGAGGAAGGGAGCAGCTTGAGGAGAAGGAGGGAGGGGAGGCCGGATTAGTTAAGAACAGAGAGTTAAGAGAAATTATGTGCGGTGCAGGGGATCGTGCAGCGGGTGGGGGGAGGCTGGATGCGCCGTCAAGAAGCAGTTGAGGGCTTCGCGAGTAGAGGCAATCTGACGTGGCTTAAGGAACGCGTACTCGCAGCCAGAAGGCACACCTGGTGAAGGAACAACCCCATAGACAAGAGCGAGGCACCATCTGTGCAAATGCAGAAATGACCATTCTAACCAGTTCTATTGTCTGGAGTATTAGATGGAAATGCCTCGGGAAAGAGATCAAGCTAGCCGCGCACCCCAGGAAAGCCTGAGGGGAGGAAGGAGGGCGCAAGGGCCGCCCGGGCACTGCCGGCCACCGGGGCCCCTTCCACGCGGGGCAGAGAAGGGCGCCAGGGTCAGGCGGCCGGCCGCGCGACCCCGCTCCGCGCACCCCGAGCTCGGGCGGTCTCTCTCCTCCAGCTGGCGACGGTTCTCGTCGCGCAGCCCGAGAGCTCCGAGACTTCCCCTCCCTCCCCACCCCCAGCCGAAAGCGGGGAAGACGCGGAACTTGGCTCCGGAGCGGAGGCCACAGACCAGGTCACAGCCCGAGCGGGGGGCTCCGGGCGACATTCCGCGCGTCAGCGGGGGTGGCGCGGGGGAAGCCGGAGTGCCCGGGCCAGGGCTCAGCCGCGCGGCACCCGCGGCAGGGTGCCCCCGCTCCGAGCCCTCCGCGGCTCCCGACCCTGCGAGCTCTGGGTCCACCCGGTCCCGGGCCCGCTCCCCTCCGCGAGCGGCGCGGCCTCTCGAGTGTCCCGGGTCGCAGCGCCGCGGCGCCCCAGTCCGCGAACTGCTCCTCTCCCGAACCCTCGCCTCGGACGCTCCCGCCGAGCCCGGGCCGCACCTCCGTTTTGGTGATCCGGTGCCGCCCCAGCTTCACTACCGCGAAGTTGCCCTTGCCCAGCGTGCCCTCGATGTCGTAGAACCCCACCCGGACCGGCCCGCGCTGCAAGTGCCTCGGGCCCTCCGCCATGACCATGCTGGGCCCCGC